GTGGCAGTGGTGGTGGCAGTGGTGGTGGCGGTGGCAGTGGCAGTGGCCGTGGCCGTGGCCGTGGCAGTGGCAGCCGCACCAGTCATGGCGGCAGCCGTAAAATTATGATATTCCCATGGACCTGCCCTAAACCCTAAAACCTTAAACCCTTGAGGTTTGTATAATTATGGTATTCCCATGAACCCTAAACCCTAAACCCTTGAGGTGTTGAAGAAGGTTGAGAACCGGTTGGAGAACACCTTCCCGCACAAATTCCGGAGCCGGTATGCCATGGTCTGCTATGGTGGAGCTTCTTGTCTCGTCTTCGCTACACTACAGGGTTCAGGGTTTAGGGTTTAGGGTTTAGGGTTCAGGGTTTAGGGTTTAGGGGGTCTAGGCTTCAATCTGAAACCCTAAATCCGTCAAAAGCGCAATAAAACATTGCGACAGTGGTAATAAAAGGTCCTTTCAAAAAGGGGCTTCTAGGGTTGTATGGGGTCGCCGCAGAAGGGAAGGGACCTTAAGGGATCTACTGGCAATGCAATGGGATGATGAGGATCCTTTTTAGACTTAGAGGTTCCATGGGGATACTTCGAGAATTAAGGCATATAGGTGCATATTTGCGGCTATGTAGTATTTAGGTCTGGGACTTTAGGATTTGAGGTTTCGGGCTCGGGATCAGGGATCAAGGAATTCCGAACGCTCCCCCTAAGGGTTGCCCTTCAAACTCCGCTGTTTTCAGCAGCGAGAAGAAATTTCAGGGGATGCATCCGTAAATCCTGACCCTAAACCTGGAACCTGAAATCTAGACGCTACACCCTGAACTCTAGGCCCTAAACCCTAAAGCTGAGCTCTAAACCCTGAACTCTAAACCCTAAATTGTTTGGCTTTGGCCGTGTAAAGGGGCATACAGTGGAGGATTGTGGCTGTAAGTGCTGTTGCCTTCCCTGCACATGAGGGGCCTGCCTGTGGTTTCTTTTGTTACCTCTGCATGTAAATCGCTTTCTGGCCTGGACGGGTTGGAGAAAGGGCTTGTAAAAAAAAAACTGAATGGGGGCTGGAATGAGGAACCCTACACTGCTAGCCAGGGCAAGCCTACTGCAACACGGGCAGTTTTCTTGGAGCTTCTGCACGCCGCAAGCTTTGAAGGTCCTTATAGGCGGGGTGCGGTTTAGGGTTCAGAGTTTAGGGTTTAGGAGTTGAGGGTTTTGGGTAACCCTAATACCTTTGGACCATAGCCCCTCAAGGATTCGTGAAACGGGGATGGTTGCGGCAGAAGGTCAAAGATTACCAAATGTCATTCCCTTCTAACCCTTGTGGAGCTGAAGTATATTTTTCCAACGTCGTGTTCCGCTTGAGTATGCCCCCACACTATCCAGTATAAACTCAGTTTCCGTGTCATTGATCACTGTCTCCGAGCCTAGCCGTATATAATGAAGGAACCGGTTCGAATTGGTTCAGCTTCTACACCACTGGGCTGCTTGCTGTTCAGGAACTGAATTCAAGTCACCATAGTTACCATATAGTATGGGTATATAGTAAATAAGAAGACGTTCCTTATTGTAGTAACCTAAGTTAAGTTCCTCGCCAGCAACCCTGATCATGTGAGCGGGGTTAATTCACCGGACAACACCGCAATTTGCAAAATGGAGATCCCATTCTTTAATTCAAAATGTGAATGCGCAAATAATAGTTCCCACTAGGATTCCAAGAAGGACCTAGATATACCTAGATCAAAACATTAATATCAAGGGGAGTTCCAGTGCTTAAACATGCCTATAAAGATCCCACATAGCCCCAGAAGCTGTAGATGAGCCTTTTAGGGCGGATTGAGTGTTTAGGGTGTTTTCCGCCTGAATCCTCCTTAAAAACCCTAAACCCTTCACATCCTATAGTCCCCCTTAAGTAGATCGAAGATGACTCTGGGTATACTATAGAGAGATACCCATATACCCCCATATTCTATCTACTCTAGGGGGACCCTAAACACTAAACCATAAACTCATCAAATCCTAACTTGAGGAGGGGAATGTTTCCTACGCCAACGCCAAAGACCTGGGTCTGGTCCAAGCCAGCATCCTCGAAAAGCTGCGGCTTGGCTGAGGGGTTAGGGTTAAGAGGTCATAGGGGATCGATAAGCATTTCAGGCTTGGGATTTAGGGCTTAGGGTTTACGATTTATAGGGTTAGGGTTTAGGGTTTGAAAGGTCTGGGGTTTAGGGCTCAGGATTCGTAACGGTCAGCATTTAGGGTTTAGGGTTGTACACTTATATACGCGTGTATATATATGTATATCTGCATCCCCCCCCAAAGTCTACCCTTTTGAGGGTTAATTATAGGACATAAGGAGCTAGTTACTGGAAGCCTGACAATAAGACATTTTAAGCAAGCAGCTGGAAATGAGGAGTTCAAGACTGCGACAGAACAAAATTACTAGCAAGGATCCCCAATTCCATGAAGTCTTTCCAATCCACAGAATGTTTACTATGCATGTCTGACAAGGACCCAAAAAAGACCATACCAGGAATCCATAATGAACACCTCTAACCAGCATTCCTAAGCGGGACTTTATGTATTCGAAAACATGTTTCCCCATAATTAACCCAGAAAACAATGAATGCCCTTTACATAGCAAGTGCAAGTAAGCCCTATCGAAGGTGTCAATATGCTGAAAACAATGTATTCCAAACATTCTGCTTTAGAGGCCAAGAGGCGCAACCCACATTGTACCTAAATCCCAAAAGTATGTAAAATAACAGCCCTAAACCCATAATAATAGCCCTGAAGGCCATTACTTTACATACTGTTGGGGCGTAGGTAGTTCACTAGGCAATCTTTTCTTTCATGAAGCAAGGAATGAATCATTATATAAAGCCCAAAACAACCAATATTTCTCTAATTTGGCCACTGGTCGAACCAAACTCGTGTTCCTAAGACGAGAGCCCGGAATCTGAGAATCCTTTTTTGAATTCGAAACATCTTTGGAACATGTCTTATCTTTTCAAAGGCAGGATCCCAGAATTTAAGAATTCCTTGATAAGTTGTAAGCACAGTTAGTAATGGACATATACAGAACAAGCAAGGAGCCCAGGACTTTAGAATTCATCTGAGGATTTGACGTGCATTCAGTCAAGGTCCTGAGGACGGATACCTATTTTTATTTCCTTATACCACGGATCTAGTATATCTGTAACAAAAGAGTCTTGGAGCACAAAGGAAGTGCGCGAGGTATATGATTGGCTTCAGGAACCAACTGATCAGTTTCAGCCATTATGGCCCTAAACCGTAAACCCCAAGCCCTAAACCCTAAACCCCAAAACCCTAAAGCCCTAAATCCCTAAAGCCCTAAACCCTAAACCCTAAACCCCAAGACCTTAAACCCCAAGCTCTGGAGGACCCTCCATCGAAGTGGGAATGTTAATCAGAGAAGCCCTTGAGCTGTCGGCGCTGCCAAATGTCACAAGCAAGCCCACATGACATGCACATGTTAATGGAAAAGGAAATGGAAACTACCATAATGGGTTATATAGGGGTTATATAGGGTTCTAATATGGGTATATATGGGTGGTTTTCAAAATTATGGTCCCTTCTTGGGTCCCTATTATAATACAGCACCTAATATTGAGGGTACCCAAAAATCCAAAAAGGGACCATAATTTTGACAACCACCCACGTGTAGACTAGTAGTTAGCTAACCTGCTGGCTAGTTGCGTTGATGTTCTGCGCTGTCTTGTCGTGTATCAGTGGGTATGAGTAAGTGGGTATGAGTGAGTGGGTGAGTGAATGAGTGAGTGCCTGAGGAGGGAGTCAGTGTCAACTACGGAGTGTTTGAGATGGTAGGCTCCAAGATCCCTGCGTTCAAATGTGGGTTCGAAATTAAAGTCAATGCGGGCGGACCCTGGGAACCAAGAACCCAGATGCCCAAGGCTCTTGATTCTTGGTTCTTGGTTTCTGGGGCCTGGCTGCACTTACATCTGCATTTAAAACGTAAGTTAAATGTAGCCAACCCCCAGAAACCAAGAACCAAGAGTCCTGCACATCTTCGTTCTTGGTTCTTTATTCCTGGGGCTTGGCTGCATTTAACCTAAATTCCTAAATACAACCGTGGGCCCCTACCTGATTCAAGAGTCCTAACCATGGGCAATTTGAGTTTCTATAATATAGGGTAGAAAACCATAGAAGCTGAGGTGGGACATTGAACCCTAACCTTCAAACCCTCAACCATCGATGTCCTGAACTCTAAATCCTAAACCAAAAACCCTCAAACACCAGAACCCTGAACCCTGCGGCCACTTGGAGGGTCTGGCCGGCTTCGTAGGTATACATATAAGCCCATGTAAGCCACATGATAGCCCCAGTTATCCCCAACAGTTACTCTATTTCTTAAGTTCCCCGAAACCTAAACCCTGAACCCGGAATCCTAAACCCTGACTAACTTGCTAAAGCTATTTGAAGGTGGGAGTTTGCCCTAGACCCCCTGTATATATATATATACATATATATATATAACCCCAAATATATACCCCACTATAATCCTTATATATATGTAACCCATTATTGTAGTTTGCAAGCCCTAGATCCTAAACCCTAATCCCTAAAAGGTGGGACACTGCGGGAATCCTTATATAACCCATTATTGTAGTTTCCATTCTATTTTCCATTGTCCCTATATAACCTGAACCCTAAACCCTAAACCCTAAACCCTAAACCCTAAACCTTAATCTCTAAACCCTAAACCCTAAACCTTAAACCCAAAACCCTAATCCCTAAAAGGTGGGACATTGCCGGTGGCATCTCGTCGGATCAGGTCAACTCTATTGAGCTCGGCGACGCGGAGAAGCTGATCGACCAGTGCTTTGACTCAGCTGAGAAGAGGGCCTTAGGGTTTGGGTTTAGGGTTTAGGGTTTTAGGGTTTAGCTTCAGGGCTTAGGGTTGGGGATTAGGGGTTATATTTCCCCTCAAGTAGATAGAATTTGGGGTGTATGGGGATTGTATTATAATCTACCCAAAGCAAGTTTCTATCTTCTGAAGGGGGACTATAGGGTTTAGGGTTTAGGGTGCCCTTGATTAGGGTTGAGCTTGCCTGATTAGCATGCAGCCCCTGGGCTCCCCCCGCTAACAATTGGGGAGACGAAATCAGGAGAGGGCGTGGTTGTTGAGGCTCCCTTGGTGCTGAGTGTTCAGGAAAATGATTTTAAACTGATCTCAGAGGGGCGGGTCCGATGTGATGACCCCCAAAGCCGAAACGCATTAAACATGGTCCTCTAACATTTGCTTTGAATGTGATTGAGCGGACCAGGAAACACATTATGAATGTTTATTCATTCCAGTTTGTGCTACATTGGGCAGCAGCGACGCGCAATGTCGTGCATTTGCACACACTTGATTTTTCTACGATGTTGTCCCATAACACATTGTATAGCTTCCGGTATAGAAGCAAGATTGTATTCTCGCTCTTGTATTGTATTTTCCGGAGGGTCCAGATGTGTCACCTTTATGGAATCAGGCTCCAAAAGCCATACTACGGAAGGAAGTATAGGTCCTAATTCCCTGGTAGTTGTAAATGTGGATTCTCTGGGGTTTATACGGAGAGCATAATCTTGCAGCAAGGGACCAAGAAGGTTTGGACATGGGGTCTGTTTGGTAGTTTAGCATTATAGTCCCTAACACATGTCTGAAACAGAAACCCGTGGGAACATTACGGCTCTTCATTAGTTCAGCCACCAAAACATGCTACACAATCCCGACATCCTTACCCCAATTTTGAGAAAGCTTTCGAATTAGGCTTAAGCTTTGGAATCGAAAGCAGATAAGGCTGCCCAGAACTAAAGGGAAACTTTAGGTTTCTGGATCTACGGACTTTCCTGAAATGTGTGTGGGAGGCGATCTTGTTCATGGGCCATGGGTGTTTGGCTCCTGCACACGAGTAGTCAGGATGCAGATAAGAACAGACTTAAAGCTTCATGCTTCCTCAAAGTTCTGTTAACCCCTAAACCCTAAGCCCATAGTTTTAACCTGTTTTCAACTTTTGCTGAGGCTTCTGGTGCCCAGACAGAAGGAGCTTGGAATTGACCTCTCAACCGTGAAGCATTGATCGTTTTGTCATCCCAGACCTCTAATGGCAGCTAGAAAGTAGATCACGCTTAAGCGCTTCTAATGAGACATCACCCAATAGTTGTCCAGGGTTCCATATTGGTGGTTTTGCTTTCTAGATCCTCCCAGGTGGTCTGGCATTAAGATAAACCTGCGCCGCCCATATGCGGTTTCTTCGCAACTCGAATTTTCGGCCTCCAAATCCGAGTCTCCAACCAATTTGGGGTATCTGCTTGTATGTGTATACAGGGGATTTAGTATCGTCGATGCGCCTTTTCAGCCCCTAATTGCCGGGAAGCTCCACATGTTTGCCTTCGAGTTGCCTCTACCTGTCCAGTGAGTAACGTTTCCTGGAGTTCTCTGAGGAACTTCTACTTTGAATTTATTTTGTGGGGTGATATAGATTAAAAACCCTAAGCCCTAAACCAAATTGTTAATTTTGGGAAAGCCGAGGATACTGGACAGCTAGGTGCTTGTCCCGTGCAGACGGCATGTCCTGTGCAGCACGTGCAGCATGCCTATGGGTAGTTGTCGCAGCTTGGTGGCCCACACAGTTTCAAGTTTAGGGTTTGCTGTAACAGTTCAAGCACACGCCATAGCAACGAGCATCCTCATTTCATGATGTATACGACACTGCTTCTGTATCAGTAACAAATGCGACAATCATAACGACTTCACCCGACCTGACCCCAAACTGTGGTTCACATAGCAGACAATCCTGAAATGGCATTGCTTCAAGCTTGGAATTACCATTATTCAGCCTGTAATAAAACACAAGAGGCGCTTGTGTCTGAGACAAAGTATGGCAGATACGTAGACACTTGGAGGGTCAGGGGGACTTGGTATGCATCTTAATAATAAGGGCTACTATGTAGCTTAAGCTGGCTTATAAGACCCTAAACCCCTAAACCCTTACACCCTAAACTCTTAAACCCTTAAACCTTAAACCACTAAGTCACCCTGACCCCTCCAAGTAGCGGCTCACAATTTTGATGACTACCCGTGTACGGTTCCGGAGATTGCAGCCACGCCGGGAAAAAAGGAAGGTTTTTTCAGGGTTTAGGGTTTAGGGTTGTAGGGTTTACGGTTTAGGGTTTAGGTTTTTTCAGGGTTTAGGGTTCGGGGTTTGCATGATGAGACAGCGCTGTCTATACTTGGGTTGAGGGTTTAGGGATTCCTAATGGGAAGAACTGGGCCCATTATGTCGGTTGCAGGGGATATACTTACTAAGTCTCCCGGACAGAACAAGTGGTTGTCAGCTTCATATATGCATAGCAGTAGTTTGTGCAGGACGGAGCTGGTAGACTTATAGGCCGTAGCAGCAATGCGGTATGTAGAGATGCCTCACACCACAAGTCCAAAGTTCTACGGTTTTTCAGGTAAATATGAGAGCCCTATTATAACCCCAACCCTACCCCCAAAATACTATAACCCTTATTATGGGCGCCCTAAGAAGGTACCCCCAATTTTGGGAAACTACCCTAAACCTTAAACCCTGAACCCTAAACCCCCTACCCCCTTCCCTAAATATATTGGGTTATATTGGGTTTATATAGGGATAATGGAAAATAAAATGGAAACTACTATAGTATAATAGAGTATATAGGGGACATATTGGGGTTATATTGGTTTTTGTTTATAGGTATGCTGACCGTCGCAGTATCAAGAGCTGCCCCAACTTGCCAGTGATTCAGTGGGAAAGGGGGGAGTGAACCCTGCTTAAGGGTTTAGGGTTTTAGGGCTTAGGATTTAGGGTGCAGGGCTTCGGTTTTAGGGCTTAGGGTTTGTGGTTCGCGGTTTAGGGTTTAAGGTGTGGATTCATCCACATAGTAGTATCCCCATAGTAGTCACTAGACATGACTCCCTTACGCCCTTTGAAAGCACGAGCGAGTCATGGGGTCAAGAAGTGTTACTTTCTCGGGTCGGAAATTTTGGAGGTTTCCCGCAGCAGGAAACCTGTAAAAGTTCATTGCTGGTTTACGAGTCCAAGGTTTTCTCTGGGGCGTTGCTGCAATGGGAGATTTAACGTTAGGTTCAGACCCACGCACACGAAGAGTAGCCTACAATGGTAGTTCTGGGAATAGGACCACGGCGTAGTAAGGATGGTTGTTGTCTGGCGCTGATCCCGACCTTAATGAATTATGGCTGCAAGCTATTCAGATTCCTCGATGAACAACGTGTTGCAGGACGAAAAGCTAACTATGCTAGCTACTAGGAAGTCTCTCAAACCCAAAACCCTTAATCCTATCCCGTAAGATCCTACACAGGAAGCTTTTGTTCATTCCCTCTGTAATCCCCATATACCTGGGATCCTTGATATGTTTGTAGCTGGGTTTGCTGCAGGATTCTACCTGCCCAGGGGACCTAAACCCTAAACCCTAAACCTGCCCAGGGGACCTTAAACTCGCGCCCCAACCCTCCCTTAGTATACCTTCAGTGCACGCCATCCTGGCGCAGGTCCTGGCCCACATGCAGAGCGAGAAGGGCAAGGAGGAAGTTGCCACCCGCTGCGCCCTCAGAAGCTGTAAGGCAGTGGCCCAAATACCTAGAAGAGAGAATCACATGGAGGGGGTTTGTTTGAAGGGTTTATATAGGGGTATATATATATATACACATGTGTATATGCAGACGCATACAGGGACATATCGGAATGAATAAAAATCGTGAGAGAGAAGAAGTAAAGAATAAAATGGACGGCTACGGTAGATGCACACTGGGGTTCTACATGGGTTTATAGGGATTGTAAATCAGTCAAATCCTGTTCAAGTAGAGTTCGGCCTTTGTCATAGGTTCCACTATTACTTCCCTCCTACACTACCGCCGCCCAAGGCTTCCCCAAATTAACCCTGAATACACACGAGCTATAGTCTACTCTCCTTAAAGGGTGTTATTTAGGGTTTAGGGTCTAAACTCCTTAAAGGGTTTATGATAAATGTAGGGAATTATATAGAGGAGTTTTATACATATATATATATATCATAATCTAAACTACTCAAAGGGGTTATGTAGGGTTTTAGGGTTGAGGGTTGAGTTTCTGAACTCCTTAAAGGGGGCTATACAGGCAAGTATTATAGGGGTTGCAAAGTGGGATACTAGGAGTTTAGACTATAGCGAGATAGCGGGAAACAGGGGCAAGTATAGGAGGGGTAGTAGTAGGGGAGCCCATGATTTGGTGAATATCCTATTAACCCTTTAGGACCCCAAACCCTAAACCCAAAGTAGGTACTATGGCAGATTGAGGGTAAAAAGGTTGAAGGGCACCTTGCTTGCTAGGACTGCTCAGGGTACTGCCCCCAACTCATTAACAGCTGGTTCATAATTATGTTTTAGGGTTTAGGGTTTATATAGAGCACTGAGTGTAACCCTAAACCCTAAACCCTAAACCCTGAACCGTGTGGGCTGTTAATGGGTTGGGAAAGGAACCCAAGGTTTCGGGTTTAGGGTACAGGCTAAGGGCTATGGGGGATGCTGGTTGGTCAACTAATATAGACTAGGTGGACCCCCCACCCGGTAATAGTGACTATAGGGCATAATGGGAACTATATTAAGGTCTTCTTATATTCCTATTGTACCACTTTTACAGGGTGGGGGGGGTCCGCCTAAAGTATACTGCTCTGTGCATGTCATACTGCAGCTAGCACCGCCCTTCACTGTCAATACTGCTGTTTTGTGGTTACTACTCAAGCTGCAAGCCAGCACGGTAAACCCTTAGCTAAAGTTTAAAGCCAACCTGTGACCATCAAGGCCATCCCCTCCA